TTCCCAACTTTTAAGTTGGGAAATCCTCTCCACTTTCTCTCTTTTATTTTTTTATGCTTTGGTTGGAGACTCATGACTCGATTTTTCTGGTGAAACTCCGGCGACTTTATTTTCGATCAAGATTCGAGTTTTACGCACTATTTTCTTGTACGCATGCGATAGGAGAGTAAGTACCTTACTTAGGGCTAATTACTTCGAGTTTGTTTTTTGATTTTGTGTTGATGCTCGACTCTAGGTTTTCGCTCTATTTTCATTGCTTGCTTTCGTGTGTTAGGATTCGATATGTGCTTATCTAGAAAGATTTTGACTTTGTTCAAAGCGTGGTGATTTAGTGTAGAAAGCTCGTGTTAGAAGACCGAGGATCACTATGCTTGCATGTTTTCTCTTGTTTATTTTTTTTTCTTGAGTCATGGGGATTCCAGTAGACCAAAGTTTCGATCTTTCTCTCTTAATTTTCATCTTGCATCATTTACTTTCATTTGCTTAGCATAATTTCGTGAAATCCAATCCCATCAAGCGAGTAGAATGTGTAGGACCTTGTTTTCAGTTATGTGACTTTGACGACTAGGTAGTGAACGAAGCTCCGAACAACCTTCCTTTGAGAACGACCCGGGTCGGGTAGCTCGGTTACTACATGCTCAAAAATACTACAAAACAATATTAATTTGTTAAAAATGTTATATGAAACCTAAATTGTGCAAAATTACATAAAACATGTCTATTTAAAATTAATACACAACTTGTATGGTGCAAGTAACTGATAATAAGTTACATTATATTCATTTCAAAATAGATGTCATTTTAAAAATTTTATTCAAATATACAATCTGACTAGCTACATTGTGATTTAAGTAAAAACAAATCATTACATATACAACACACACACACACACACACACAAACCAAATAATTTGATATGTTCCACGCACATTTGCAAAGTAGAATCGACCATAGTATTATACAGATTTCCTTTCATTAATATCGAGTAAAATGCTTAGTAATATGAAAAATTTATTGAGATATCATTAATTACCATAAGAGGGTATATTAGATCGATATATAATATACCAAATAATTCGATTTCATATTTTATCGATAAAATTAAAAATATGATATTTGTTTTAACCACGAAATTAATTGTCCAGCGTACAATTAATTTCGTGCCCTGCCCTCATCATTGTTAATATATATATATATATATATATATATATATATATATATATATATAACTAAAAATAGTCATTAAAAAATAATTAAATAGAACTACCATTAACACAATTACTTTAGAATAATTTTATAAGAAATTATAATTGAATAGATTCATCGAATTTACATGATTTGCCTAATTAGGGTATCTTATTAATGTAAATTTTTATTGTCTAATTATTTTCTTAATTTTTCAGGATTTGAGCAATTAAATACACAAAAAAATGAATAACATTTATTTTATAGTATTTAAATTAAAATTGTCCTTAACACAATTGTTTAAGAACAGGTTTTTGCAAATTGTATAATTAATTATTATTGTCGATATTTTCATAATTGCAGTAATTATTAACATATTGAATAAATCAGTCGGATTTTTATAATTTTCGTAATTTATATATATTAAAAATGTATTTCACAAAAGAATTACACGAAAAATATAAAACGCATATTAAATAATAAATTATAAAATTTAGTTGGAAAATTTTTACCAAATCATATAATTAATATTGCATCCAAAATTCCCATATTTGAGTTAATCAACTAATTCACATCATTTGAGTAATTAAGGTATTTTAAAAATAAATTCTCCATAAGTGATTATTTGAAATATATCATAAATTGTTAAATTAATTTGAGTAATTAAGGTATCTTAAAAATGAATTTTTATATGGCTTACTTATTTACTTAAATAATGAACCCCAATTTCCATAAGTGATTATTAGAAATATACCATAAATTGTTAAATTAATTTCCTAAAATAATAAATAGAATTTTTTGAAGGGAAATAGTTATTATTTAAAAAATAATCAAAATTACCTTTCAGTTTCTTTATTTAAATGTTTGTAATGTATACTTGGTAGGTAACAACATCAATCATGCCATGTAATATCACATATTTATTGACTAACAACTACAGGTATTTATTTCGTATGATGAATATATTCCTACCTAATCAAAATATACAGATTCAATGTTTCACGCATAAAAAAAAATAATAATTTATTTAACTTTTATTTATCAAAAAGGATAATCACGCTGGATAGTTTTTCTATAAAAGATTATATAAAAATCTGATAACAATGATAAGCTATGTAATCGAAATTCAAAAGGCTATGTTATAATATCACATATTTAAGAATAATAATTAATAGTTCAATTTTTGTAGTAAAAGCAAAGTTATATGTTTTCTTATATGCTAGTAAAGTGAGATATTTTATTTATTTATTTAGTCAAGTGTAATGATTTATGTTTTCTCATCATTATAATAAGATCAATTATAAATTTTATGATAGTTATTAAAAAAAATTTAAGCGAATTGTAGAAAGAATATCACATGCTCAACCACAATATATAGAGAGAGAACAAGAAGTCTCAAATATAAAGTTTATATGCAGTAAACCATATTAAATATACAAGAAGCAAAATTTCTAGGGAAAAATAACAAATACTAATACTTGAAGCAAAAGTATTGCATTAAATTTTTTTTGTAAGTATGTGACTTTAATATAACATTTAATGTGAATTTATAAGTAGTTAGTATTGGTTGTAACATTATATAATAAAATATTAAATTATTATTTTACATTAATTTAAAATATTTACGATTTTTTTCTACAATTTTTTTTTTTTTTTTTTTTTTTTTGCATTAATCGAATTGTCTATAATTATATATACTAATACTCGATCTTATGCACATGCACAAAGACAAATAAAAAATTATATATTATATATATGTAGTGCCTCGTTCGAATTATATGAGTTGTCGTATTTTATTCTATTATTTGCATTTCCTTGCTTTCATTTTTATATTCATTGCTCGACAAATTTCTCGAATAAGATTATTATGAGTTGCTTAGATGCCCTCATCTATTTAATCTAATAAGTTGAATAATTTTAATTGATGTGCTCGTCTACTTAAATAATCTTCATTTTTACTATTTTTGTCGTCAATCGGTTTATTGTTTGAAATTCTTCGGTGAAATTGCGTTTTAGTTCGAACCTTTTTCAAGCAAGACGTATACTGCAAACTGATTGGTATAATACGTAAATAAATAGTATGAACTTTTTTCAATCGGGTTTCGCAGAGTTATAGCCGATATAGACAGCAAGGTGGTGGCGGATGTGGTGAATGGCCCGGGCGAAGTAGAGGGGGTGCATGGCAGCCTAGTCTGGGCGACAAAAGAATTGTTGTGACTTGAGTGGAATGTGATTATTCGACATGTATACCGTGAATCCAATTTCGCGGCCGATTACTTGGTATAATACGTAAATAAATAGTATGAATCTGTCTGCTAATAATTTTGTGCATGATTCATACATAACTCCTAAACATATGAATACGTATATTGCAAACTGATTGGTATAATACGTAATCAAAACCCCTAATTAAGATCACATAATAATTTTGACAACAATCACAAAAATAATGTTAAAACTTTTCAGCAACTGAAATAATCATGATCTGTCATTATTATTTCCATTTTATTCCATTAATACAATAATTCATACTTAGTCATATAATTTATATCTATATTGCTCATTTTTACTATAATAAAATAGTAAAATTTGATATACCATTATCTAGCTAACTTATAATTTTAAATAATATATATATACATAACATATAATATTTTAATTGCATTATTTGAGCATGTGCACAAGATCGAGTACTAGTTATATATATATATATATATTTTTTTTTTTTTTTTTTTTTTGAGTAGGAGACTTATGTTTTACATATTACATGTTTAAAAAAACAGACAAATTAAGTAATAAGAAGGGAAAAGGAGAAAAATTCAAAACTAGTCCCACAAGTATAGGGGTGACAATTTTGGTCCCGAAATGTAGAAAATATAAATAGTCCCACAACTTTTTAAAAATGATCAAAAGTATGACTTTTTTGCCGGATTTACTATTTTCGGCCCGGAACGCCACGTCGCGCACATGTGACTCATTTTTTTACACGAGTTGTGGACTATTCATATTTTTATACATACCTGTGGGACCAAAAATGTCACACCCCCTATACCTGTGCGACTAGTTTTGAATTTTTCCCTATCTACGTCGGATGCCAGCGTTTAAGAAAATAAGCCACATGTGCGCCACGTGGCGTTCCGGGCTGGAAATAGTGATTCCGACAAAAAGAGTCATAGTTTTGATCATTTTTAAAAAACTGTGGGACTATTCATATTTTCTGCATTCCGTTGGGAACAAAATTGTCACCCCCTATACATGTGGTATAGTTGTGAAATTTTTCCCAAGTCAAAAGTTAGGCATTTCTTTCAACACATTGTAAAAATAGAAATATTATTCGCAATCTCAATCAGCGGGTGGATAGCAGCAATATTTTCTTCTGTGACTGTGGGACTCTACACACTCTCTACAGTAGTCTAGTATATAAACGGGAGATTCTACGGTCTCGTTACGGAACCATTTCGTCGAGGTTTGTAAACGTTAGATCAACTATCCACGACGTTTACATGATGATTTAACGATTACAAATCCCGACAGAATGATACCGTAACGGGACTGTAGCATTTCCCTATATAAACTTATCTAAACTTGATCTAAGAAGAGAGTAGACATATCACTTACATTAATCAGTCAGCCTCTAATTAATTAGTAGTAAGTAAGTAGTCTGTTTGAAAAAAGATGGGTCATATTGTTGTCCATTTTGTTCTCTTTCTTTCTCTGTGGCTCGCATTATTTGTTGATCATATGTACTCATCAAAACTAGTTGATGATCATGTCGATAATATTGTTAGGACATATATTGTTAGCGTCAATAATAGCATGAAACCGACAGAGTTTGCAGAGGTCAAACACTGGTACCATGCCACCCTTGAAAGCCTCGAAGACTCGAAGAATTACAATAATAATAATACTTCAAATTCAAAATCCCAAAAGTCCTCATCATCAAAACTAGTTCTTCATCATGTTTACAACACAGTTTTCCATGGCTTCTCAGCTAGGCTGAGCACGCGGCAAGCCCAACAGCTTGAGGAGCAGCCGGGGGTTGTTGCTGTTTTTCCCGACCGAGTTTACAACTTACACACGACTCGGACTCCTTATTTCCTCGGCTTATACGGTGATACTTACAATACCATTGCTAGACCTTTGTTAAACGAATCCAATTTCGGCTCGAACGTCATCATCGGATTCCTCGATGCTGGTATTGATCCCAATCACCCTAGCTTCAACGACGACGGCCTCGAACCCCTCCCAGCAGCCAAGAGATGGAAAGGCAAGTGCGCGGTGAAAGGGTTTCAGTGCAACAACAAACTCGTTGGCGTTAGGTACTTAACACCCGGAAAGAACATCGGTCACGGCACGCAAACGGCGTCCACGGCCGCGGGAAGGGCCCTCAAGAACGTGTTTTATTCCGAGAACGGGGAAAGCACGGCCGTCGGAGTCGCGCCCAAGGCACGAATCGCATTGTACAAAGTATGCAATGTTGGTGGCTGCGCGGG